TTTTTTTTTTTTTTTTTTTTTTTTTGAGAGACAGAATAAATAATAATTATTTATTTACCATGTATTTTTTGTATGGACTGTATGGTTACACTTATAGTTAGAAATATAGAAATTTTGCAAAATAACTGAAGCCTATTGTTTCTTATCCCTGACATATTGTGTTATTCATCTCTGAGGTATCTTGTTTTTCATGGCACAGGTTTCTTACTGTGAGAAGTAAAGGGGTAGATATTCAGTCAGCCTAAAATTAGTGCTGAGCTACCTGTGAGTGCCCTTTAGCAGGACGACGTTCAGCAATTTGTCTCTATATTTGAAGGTCAGAATTTCAGCCTTTGTCAGTCTTGCCACAGAGAGATTGGCAGCCCTGGTGAAAAAAACCTTGTCAAGGTTTAATGCTGAAAGAAAATGACTGTAATAATTTATAAATCCAAGCTGGATGCCTTCAGCAAACCTATTTAGTCACTGCTTGTTAAGTGGGATCTTATCAGCTCCCTATCCTTAATTTCTTCTTCATGTGTTCAGCATCCCTACATGCCCAGTGTGTGAAGCCAGAGCTCCATCCCAGACAAAACTGTGCTGCCAAAGCTCTCAAAAGGCCGACCTGTGCAGCAGCACCTACCAGCCAAATATTGAATCTCTGAAATGTAGAGCACGTTTCTGTACTCCTCCATTAAACTAGCAGCTTTTGCTCATTGAACTTGGCCAGCTTAGTCGCCAAGGGAATGTGGGTGGAAGGTGTCTGCATTTTTCTTCTCTACTCTAAAAGATTAATTTTGGAGGTATAAGTAATTAGGGGTTAACTGTGCTGCAGATTTAGGTACGTGGCCATACATTGAATAGCCCATTTATGAAAAGTGGAACTGACTTTAAAATTTTAATTTACATAGTGCTGCACAAATTACATTGCTGATGAAGTTCTTACTCTGTCCAACTCTGCCTCAGCTCACGTGTGAGCAAGGGATAAGATCACAGCTCCTGTGACAGGTGTAACTCAGAGTCATTCCTACAACCTCTGTTGATAACTCTGCAAAGGCTTTTACACATGATCAGTGTGTCTCTGCAAATCAATACAAAGTTAATTAGGAGATTACACAGGGAGATTGTAGTGTGGCCTGAAGAGGGGAGATGCACCACCACAAATGCCCAAATAAATTTTACACTAAACAGCAGGAGAAAGCTTCATAGACACATATTTTCATGGATGAGAGGTATTCTGGCTCCTAACGCAGGTATTTGGTGTGGAGTGTGTCTGGACCTCAGGGTACATTCAAACAGCATATGATACCAGAGCGGAGAACTACAGGGTAAGGGTGCTAAACATTAACTTTCACTGCCAAAAAGGAATAAGTGAAAAAACCCTACAAATGTCTATTGGACTCAGGTTTTGATGAACAGCCAAAATTCATTATTAGAAAATTTCTGGATCATTTCAACAAAGTCATTTAGAGATATCTAGATATGACATGCTGCTTTGTTTCTGAGTGTGTCTTTTGAAATAGCCACAATTGTGGAAATAGGGCTTCTGTTATTACAAGCTGATTCGCAACAGATGACTTTCCCCCCAGCCCCCTTTCCTAAAAGGAAAGCTCCAGGTACTGCTCAAGTGAACAAACTGCTCCAGTGTTACCTGTGCCCCAGCAGGTTGCTTCCACGGGACCACTGTGCTTTTTTAGTTTTGTATTCCAGGAGAGACTTTGTTATGGAACACAAGCATAATAATATAAGTGGAAAAACATTTATTGAATTAGTTTTTACAGCGGTTTATACTGGCTGCAAACTGTATTCTCCACTTCCCAGGCCAGTGTCCAGGCTTTCACTTCTAAGTCTACAACTTGTTCCAATATTGTCACCTTCAACCCCCTCCAGAGGTTACTCTGCATTTTTTTGGAAACTGACCTCTCTATCTTTAAACTGCCCTGTGGCACAGCACCTGGAAAACTTGGTTTCATGCGTAATTAGCACCTTACTTCAGCTGCTCTGCAACTCTCTGCCTCTGTGAGTCACTACTGTCTACTGGCTTCCACTTCCCAACAAGATTATTTTCCTGCCCTCTAGGCTTCTCAGATTTCCCAGAATTTTTTATAGATACAAAGCTTTGAAGACTGCAAGGGGAAAACTGTAATTTATTATTTTCCATAAATTTTGCTGAGATTTACGGAATAAATGTATTGTGGTAAATAAAAGGAAACCAATGCTAGATGCTGGTTCCTCCCTTCAGTCCAAAAGTACAAACTGTTCTGGAGTGTTTATTTAATGCTGTGTGAGCCCTGGAAGGCAGAGCTTGCCCTTCTACCAGTGGATCTTCCTCTTACAGTGTGGTTCTAGGCATGCTGGGGAAGCCTTGGAAGCCATTCTGGCCTCCCAAGCTGGTGGTGCACCCCAGTGTGCACACACTGACAGCTCAGAGAAGGGGTACAGTGCACTCCATGCCCATGGCTGGGGAGATCCCAGCTGCTGAAAAGGGGTGTGAAGGCTTGCCACTTTTCACAGTTCTTAATTAGAAAAAGGGAGCATTCTATGTCCTGCATGCTGTAAGTATGGAGAGGAGTGGTAAGCCTGTTGCATGCTCAGGGCTCTCAGTTCTCTCCCTGCCAGCAGACTCTGCCTACACACAGGGTTGTGTTTGACATAAGGTCATATGGCAGCAGAGGGATGGGGGCAGCTGGAATGACTCTTTCCCAAAGGCTTCATTGGACCTTGGTTGGCGTGAGGACCTGCAGAAGGTCCCTGTCCTCCTCTGTTCCAGCTTCTTCTTGCTGCATCTTGGGTAGCTGTGGTTGCTGATGTTCCCCACTATCATGGGCATAGCAGGGAAGAGGGCAGGGGCAACCTTGTGGGGCCCAGGCAGCTCCAATCTGAGCGTGGTGCATGAACATCGATGGCTTTGCATCAAGTCTCCCCTCACACAGGGAACTAACGAGCACATACATGTCAGGGAACCACATGCAGCAGGCTATGGCTGAGCCTTTCTGGTCAAGGGCATGTTTTCTCTATTTTCAGTCTTTCAATCTTTCTCTCTTTTCAATCACTGCTTCATCTGTAAACAAACACCTTCCTCAAAGTGTATGTTATCTTACAGAGCTGAAAGCTTATATAGAAATTGCCTTTTAGACCACCTGAATAGACTATGATTTCTTTATTCCAATAAATTATGAAGTCTTACTGAAACTGTAGGTTGAGAAAAAATATCTAGAATTTAGTTTGCCCTCAAAGTAATAATTTTTTAATTTATTATTTTTTTTTAACATTTGCAATGTGTTGTGGAGGCATATTTCCAAAAGCTGTTAGAATGGCTCAGTAACTCTTTGAGGAACCCAAAGAGTTTGATTTCTGACTTGATTATATTTGAGTTTCTGGATGATGTGATGAGGTGTTTGGATTTAATAAGCGGCATACCGAACCATCAATATCTAAAAAAACGAAATGCAAGTACTACTGTAGTTGGAGGAATTGGGTGGGATTTCTGTAGTGCAAATACGACATTTTAGTATTTATAGGTGTGCAGCTCTTTACTGACGTGCCCAATAAGTCAAAAATTTGATTGTTACCAATGCCTCTAGTTGGCAGTGTTGCATTACTAATAGCAAAAGGATAACTCTTTCTGTTTCAACTTTGCTGGATTCCAGTTATAAGTTCATAATACAGATAATTTAAACATAAAAGTGATTGCATATAAAAATTCACAAAGTTGTGAAAAACAGTTAAAAATTAATTTTGAAAAATCAAAATGCTTTTTATTTTGGTTTTGGGTTTTTTTTCGATTTATGTGCACATAAAGTAATTTGAGAGGTGACAGGGGTAGAACCCAGACCAGATTTTAAGGAAGAAAGCCAGGAAATTCAGCATGTGTTTTGGAAGGGATTGAGAGCTCAGAAATATTCAATGAAACTTTCTGACTGCCACAAGAAATGAAAAGCGGCTGCATTTCCCTGCAGTCAGAGTGTCCCAATAAAGACTTCACAAGCAAGAATGCTCTCCAGAAACACATTGGACTACTTTGCTGCAGCTGTGAGAGTGAGTCAACCAGGCCTCTGTTGAAAGAGATCCTGTTGCTGCAATGTTTTTGTGATGTTTTCCTGCAGTGACATCAGTGTATCTGCTTTAAAATGTACTGCCATCTGAAAATCAAAAGACATTGTGTGCTGTGAAGTGAGTGTTTACAGTATCTTTTAGTGTTTCAGCTTTCTGCACAGGTATTCCTTTAACTTTTACTATAATGAGGGATTTATCCTAGGGCTTGCTTCCGTGAAGGACTGATGCAAGAGGGCATGAGAGCAACTCAGTATCTCTCAGCTTTTGTCTGCCTTTTTATTCTCTGTTCTTCAGCCAAACCTTGATCCTGTAAATTTTTGAGTCCTTGGTCCCATTCCAGAACAGCACTTGATACATATTTAACTTTAGGCACATTAGCAACCCCATTGATGTCCATAGGACCACTCATATGCTTAAAGTTAAACGTGTTCTCAAGTGTCTACACTGGATCAGAGAATATGGGAATGAGGTCTCTGGCAGATCTCCAGGCAAGCTTCTCCTAAAGAAGACAGACAAGCCTCTCTTCTGATGCAGACCTGTCCTGG